TGTAATGTGTATACATATCCATATGCACACATGTAGGTTGTACCCGTGTTGGTCTAAGGACATAGGTGGACAAGATTCTTTGGGTAAATGCGATATCTTTTATGAGACCAACTTAGACTGAGCTGGTCTAATAAAAGGTATTGGATTTACCCAAAGAACCTTACCTGCCTGTATCCTTACGTAGTGCATTCTCGTCAAACCACTCCCTGACATTGATCAGAAGATGACAACCTTGCTATACGATCATCCCCTAGAATTCAGTAAGGGATTCTGGTTCTCCGGTAGAATCCTGTGGGGTGGTTCAAAAAATAAGACTATAGGAAAAGGTCTCCTTTTCAAGAAAATGTTTTGACTTTTAGAGTTCTGTAGAGCCCTATAAAATTATATTTCTTGCAAAGATTCCATTCAACTTGTAATGTGGTGCTATATTAGTATTATTGTTCCCATTAGCATAGCCTGTTAAGCTGATTAATAAGGATTGCCATGCATCATTTTCCATGCTCCTAAGGACAACGCTGTGAATCATTTACTACAGAGACCTCTCCAACAAGCATTTGACAAAGACAGGAGTGTTAAAAGATTAAATTGACTGTGTTGCACATGAAGCATAGATATTTACAGCCTCTGCTATGTTTGTAGTCAGTTCATGTCCAGTTTGAAACCGACAGTGGTAATTTCTCTGTTTCCAGAAAATACCTACAGTGCCAGGTAATTTGAACCATGCTTAGTTTGAGCCATGGTTGGCTTGTACCACACTGTGCTACCAGTCACTGAGTCTCTTTCATAACTGCGGGGGGATTGCCCTTTTACATGTTCATTACTTCCTTTACACACAGTAAATAAAATAATAACTTAAACTATAGAAAAAAAAACTGCTGTTAAAATAACATTAAGGTTCTTTCACAAGCAAGAGTAGCAAATGTTCAAGAAGGTAGGAATCTCCTGTCTTCAAATTTGCATTTCTAGTTATTCAATAAAATAGATCATAAGAAACAAAAAAAATGTTCTCCCTGCCCATGTCCCACTGCTGTGTTGCAGCTCTGGATGCAAATCAACAGAAGCAAAGGCAGGGGTGCCATTTCCCCAGTCTGTGCTCCGCTTGCAGTCCCGTACACACATCCAAGGTTCAGTGTATATTTATTTCCTTTGTGTTGCTTTCTGGCAACTAAAAAGAAGCTGTCTCTTAGTGTATGTTGATCAATTTAATGGGCTTTAGTGGCTCCTGCAGAAATTGCGTAGTCTTTGGCACTGTTGTGCACAGTGTTTACATCATTTTGAAGACTTGGGTAATTAAATTTATAGTTATGTAGGGCCTTTTCTGTAAAAGACAGATTTAGATCCTGATTCAAAGCCCACTGAATTTGATGGAAACTTTAGTTGGCTTTAGCAGGCTTTAAATTAAATGGGTTCAGCTGCCTGAGTTGGTAGGGTGTATTTGCAACATTTTGGATTATTTGCAGTACATAGGTTGGAGGAAAGTATTTTAAGCACTTTCAAGCTCAAGGGCTCAGTTCTTTCTTCAGAATCCCCCTCAAACAAACCTGTGGGAGTTGTTGTGTATACATCCATCACTGACAGAGATTGGCTTCCAGGTTCTCAAAACTGGTAAAAAAATATATATGTATCTGTATGAAAGTACAGACTGTGCTTGAGCTGTCACGACTTTTCAAAGCTTAAGTCACTTCAACCGATTTACATTTTCCTCCAAGTCAGCTGGAATATTTTAAGGATTGTTGATTTGCCCAAATTAACTGTGCTAATTGCAGCTAGCTATTTAGGCCCCTGAACTTCTCTAGGGAAAAATATACATTTAAAATAACTTTGTCACCTTTTTTTTAAAAATTTATTTTTGTCAAGCCTAACGTCTTTGTCCTGAGTCCTTCTTTGGGTAATTCTCAGCTTCAGTGGCAAATAATCCTGCACAGAGTCCCAGATGCAGTGGGATTTCTCTAGCTACATGTGGAAGAGAAAGGATGGGGACATCTGGAGGTGGGACAGAAAGAGTGAGGAGGAGGAGGAGGGTGGAAGCTTGTACATCCTTCCCTAAGTATCAACCAGCCGTTGCAGTAGGTAGAATGTGAGGATGCTGCAATCCAGGCTACCCAAAAGCTGGTTTTTTCAGTGCAGTCTGGGGGTCCCTATTTCTCCCTACCTCTGTGGAAATCTTCCACCTGGGCCCTAAACTTAGGATGGTACCTGCAGCAATGCAGAGGGAGGGCTCAACTCTAAACCCCTTCACCAAAAAGTATCAATAATTACCGAAGTGGCACAACCATCGTGACACTAGTTATGCTATCATCCATTCTGAAATGATGATGACGATGATGATTCTAATGCGCAGCTGCACCTTCCCATTGTGCTAGGTTCTGTACATACATTAAAAAGATGTCCCTGCCATAGGAGATTTACAGTCTCAACATAACTATTGTTATTGTTTTTAAGCCTATTTCTGCTTCCTATGGCAAACGCTCAAGATTTATATTGTGTTTTGAAAGGAGTGTTTCAATTTATCCTAGGAGGGCTATGTCCTGGCTCCAGCGATCCCTGTAATGAGAAGCCGTGTCCAGGGGACATGCAGTGCGTGGGGTACGAAGCAAGTCGCAGGCCGTTCATCTGCCAGTGCCCACCAGGAAAGCTTGGGGAATGTTCAGGTACAGATTGCACCCCAGAGATAAGCAGGAAGTGCAGGAAGGCATGATTTATATATGAAGCACTTCCATTGTGTCATTGTAAGTAGAGCTGCTGTTGAAAGTCAGTGGGGATTTATTTGTGCTGAATGCTTTGAAGGATCTGCTCCAGTTATGTCAACTTACATGGATTGTAAAAGAAGCCAATTGTACAAACC